TACCACATACATGTTTCTTGAGGACTAAACAATATATTTGCTTGATATTCCTGTGCTTCTCAGCCAGAACTCATGATTTCACACACATGAATGTAATTCATAGTTTCGTAGATTCATAGATGTTGGGGTCACAAGGGATTGTCTCCTTCTGCACCCATAGGATTGCTCCCTTGAGGAATGACCACCCTTCTTGGACCCCCATTTCACCAATGAACTTGAGCTTTAATGCCTCACTAACTAATCTCCTGAGCACACTGAAGTTAGCCTTTCTGAAGTCTAGCACTTCACCCCTGCTGGTTAGTTTACCCACCTTTTACCAGGTAGTGAATTCAATCAAAGAATGGTCACTATCCCCTAGGTTTCGTAGTTTCATAGTTAGTAGGGTCGGAAGGGACCTGAGCAAATCATCAAGTCTGACCCCCTGCCATGGCAGGAAAGAGTACTGGGGTCAAATGACCCCAGCAAGGTGTTTGTCTTACCGACAACTTGTACCTGCCGATTCCCCACCAGGTCATCCCCTGTAGCTAACATCAAGTCCAGCAAGGCATTTCCTCTAGTGGGATCGTATACCTCCTGCATTAAGTGGAGGTCCTGTATGCAGATTAAGAACCTATGTGGGTGGTTAGATTTGGGCAGCAGAAATAGGTATGCATTTGAAGATGTGTTACGGTGTTTCATAGTTTGCATTTCAAAATATATATACTACAATGTTTCAATTACCAGTTCTAGCTTTAAAGTTAATTCATTGCTTTGGCTTAAAAGCATGCTTCAGCGTAATATAATCTATAAGCCAGCCTTCTTCTCATCATGAAATAACCTTGTGTGCAATCCAAGTTATAAATATTATTCCAATTTATTATTAGGAATTAGAAATATTATTCTTAAGGAGAAATTGCTGCTTATTTTGTTAATTGTTCAAAATGAACTCACTAGGTGAATAGTTCTGTTTTGCTTTGAGAGATCATAGAAAAACGTTTTCTTTAAACATGACAGTCTAAAATGTCTATAGCAAAACTGCATTCAATTACAGGGACTAAAGTTCTCTGTCAACCTGGAATTTACATGTAAATGTACTATGCTAGTAATGCACGTAAACCATATTCACATCACTTTTACAAGATTCAATTGGACTTCGGTGTAAAGCAAATAAAATTACCCCTATAGCATCAGCAATGTTGAGTATGAGCCTAAATTTACTGTTTGCTTCTATACGTTATGCAGATGTAAACACAGAGAGACATTATTTATGTGGCATCCAAGTGTGTTAGCTTAATTACCAAACACACAGAAAAAACTACAGTCCTCACTCCATAGCAGTACTGGATATAAGAGACAGCAAGCAACATGAGACAGGAATAGAAGCAAGGGAGAACAAGAGTTACAGTAATAAAATTAAATTGATTCATTTGATGTCTAGACAGGTCACAATTTATGCATATTGACAAGCAAAGGAAATAATTTTACCAGCTAAAGTTTGGATGAACTGTATGTGGTTAATATGAGCATTAGGCAAACTGTTTTAAATATCAATTCAGTAAACAGTAAATTGTGTATATTTGTTTATAGATGTTTTATTATTAGAGTTAATAACTATCATTTTCACTAATGATTAAGGTAGGGTACATAGGCATGTGAACTATGTAACTAGCATGTTTTCAAGATTTAGTGCACATAAGACCTCACCTTTTATGTACGCTATACTGAGTGGACTAATGCCTAAAATGAGAGCCGAGGTTTTACCTCAGCCATTTTAGCACAAGTTATCAAACATAAGGGTTGCTGCCTTGGGCATAGCTGCCTCCCACCCCCATACTCTTCCAGGTCAACGTAGAGGAGGGAGGCAGGGAGCGGGGCAAGGACCAGTCTTCCTTTGAGGCAACCAGAGCTCTGGGTGGGATCTGGCCACAGGAGAACACTCCCCATCCTATCCAGCTCGTGATTTGTCAGGTAAAGAGGGGAAGCATTTTTCTGGGGCTCTGGGAGGGTTCCAGCCCCAGGGGCACTCCCATGCAGTCCTCTGGTTTGGCCCAAAAGAGTACACAGAGAGAGGACTATTCTTCTGCAGTGGGAACCAGGAGGGTTCCTGCTATGGGATAATGGATCCTCGTGAGTCAGCTGGTTTGTGGACTGGAAAGGGGCCATTCTCCTGGGACTTTGTGGAAACTGCTGCTTTTCAGCAGCTGCCAATTACCTATTGACAGCTTTCCCCCTTTCCAGGCAAGTTGCTGATCAAGGGGCTCTCTTAAAAGCAGGGGTGACCTAGGGTACAATTTTCTAGTGTCACCTGGCTGGCGAGCTCAGCTGTGTAGCTTTCTAGCCAGAGGGCTGGGACATGTACACTCTAATTCCCAAGTGGTCTTTCTAGAAATGAATGCCTCTCCATGGCCCCAGTCACTTCTTTGTTGCATTTCAGCTGAAAAATCAATCTATTTTGGATGTCAGTATCTTAAAAATTCCAGATGGTTGAAGTTTCTAAATTTAAAAATATGCATGCTAAATGAAAGTGTACAGGAACATTTTGAAAGCCTGGAAGAAAACATAGACACAACTACTGTGTGTATGTATTAGTGGTACCGAACTTTTGCAGGCCATTGGGCAACACTGCTGAGCAAGAGATGCTAGGGGCAACATTGTAATTTCCTCTCTTGCTCTCTTTTTTCACTTTTTAATTTTTAATGTTTCAACCTTTTAATTTCAAGTGGCTGGAAGCAGCATTGGAGGACATGCCACCAGTGAGTTATGGGATGGTGATCACTACTTTTTGTATATTAAAATTTATAGAAGAGAATCTCGGTGGGTGGATCATGCTACTTCAAAAATCAGTAATCACAGTTGAGGGAGGAATTTTTTTTTTTATATCCATCATAAAATGTTACAGTGCATTAATTCAATTTTTATTAGACCAACTGCGAAATTGCAAAACAAAAATATTTTTTTCTGCGAACTTTCAGGCTCGCACGCCCATCATCAGGCTCAGGGAAAGTTAAAGATGGTAAAAAGTCCCCATATGTAAGAAATCGTACATATGGGGACTTTTTACCATCTTTAACTTTCCCTGAGCCTGATGGCAGGCGTGTGAGTCAAAAAATTTGCAGAAAAATGTACTTTATTTTGCAATGTCTTAGTTGGTTTAATAAAAGGTATCACCTCTGAACCAAGAATTCTAGATTTTTGCATTTCTTTTAATCTCAGCAGGGCTAACTGGACCTTGTTGTGCATCCACAGGTGCGTCTCAAGTAGAGCCAGGGAGGTAATCCTCCCCCTCTATGTGACACTGGTCAGGCCACAGCTGGAGTATTGTGTCCAGTTCTGTGCACCCCATTTCAGGAGGGATGTGGACAACATTGAAAGGGTCCAGAGGAGGGCCACCCGCATGATCCGGGGACAACAGGGCAGACCCTACAATGAAAGACTGCGGGACCTAAACCTGTTCAGCCTTCACAAGAGAAGGCTGAGGGGGGACCTGGTGACTATCTATAAACTCACTAGGGGGGACCAGAAGGGTTTGGGGGGGACACTGTTTCCCCTAGCGCCCCCTGGCATGACAAGGAATAATGGACACAAATTATTGGAGAGTAGGTTTAGATTAGACATCCACAAGAACTACTTCACAGTTAGGGCGGCTAGGATCTGGAACCAACTTCCAAGGGAAGTGGTGCTGGCTCCTACCCTGGGAATCTTTAAGAAGAGGCTTGATGCCTACCTGGCTGGACTCATTTGAGTCCAGTTTTTCTCCCGCCCAGGCGGGGGGTCGGACTTGAGAATCTACAAGGTCCCTTCCGACCCTACTTCTATGATTGTATGATTCAGAGCAACACGACTACCAAATACATCCCTAATTCACTTTGGAATTTAATTGATCTACTAATATATGTTTACTGAGTTAAGGCTGATACCTGTAGTTTCTGGACCACTAGTGGGAAAGAAAGCTTCAGCTGAAGCACAGGCTGACAAATGTCAACAATGAAGCATAAGAGTTGTGATGTTATACAGGCATGTTACTGCTTTGATGAAGGAAATTGGAAATTCTGTTAATGAATTCGCTTTCCTGTTACCAACAAATCTAAATCTCCAGCTCAGTTTGAAGCTATCACTGCTTCTGCATCTCAAGGGATAGAATAGTTTAAGTACCAGGAGAATTGTCAGGAAACTAAGTCAATATATTGGATTGCGGGGATGGCAGATTGGCATGGTGCCTTCAATATGCTAGTTCACTTCACCTTGATGAACAGTTATCTAGAGATCTGGATTAGTTTGTTAGTTAGGGACAATACCTTGGGGCACACAGCCAAAGTCTCCCTGGCTGTCAGTCAGTCCTCATTTCTTGTATCATGACATCAAGAAGATCCATTGGCCCTAAGGATTTTTACATGGGAGTGATCTGGGAAAAGTATCAAATCATAGATCTGGAAAAGCATGATTGATGAATACCTCTGCTCAGTCGCATTCCTGAGTCTCCTTAGTGTCTAACTGACAGCACTTCCCCAACACTGGAGGTTTTTTACTCATGAACACATCGGGAACAGGATAACACCAAAGCAAAACTCTCTACTGGTCTTTGCACACCAAAATCTTATAGGCACTGCTACTTTCCAGATATTAAGATGTTCTTTCTTGACTCCTTTAGCTTCTCTAAAGAGCTGTCCCTTACCAATAATTTCAGTAATTTCTATAGTCTGCTTGTGAGTTAGGTGTGTGGAGATGATCCTTTTTTTAGAGACAGAATGCATGGGACATAGACAAAATCTAAAGCTAGAAAGCAAACATGTGGCAGAAACAGGATGGGAAATCATATATTCTTGCTTCTGGTCCTGTCTGCACTCCTTTGTTGGTAACTGCCATTTCCTTTTCTGTCCATTTAGGTCATCATAATGGTCATTACTGTGGTTTCTGAGCATGTTATCAGCATAGTTCCTGATACACAAAGGTGTAATTTTATTTTAAAGTTGTTTCTTTGGGCATCTTGTCAATTTTTGTTCTCTTTCCTTATATTTTGGCAGGTACAGAAAGAAGGGATTCCCTTTTAAACAGCCCAGACATGGTTGATATAGCTCCAAGCAGAAAGCGGAGACAAAGGGCTCTAACGACTGCTGGAACAGGACTGAAAATGGCTACACATGAGACAGATCTGCAAGTAAACAAAAAGTAAGAAAGGGTTTAAAGTTTATGCAAGTCATGTTATTTTATTTCTCTCTCTATGAATGAAAAAAGTTCTCATTTTTAATTGCATTTTATGGTACAGTAGTAGAAGCTTGCAAAAATGCCCGAGTTCCATTTTGTACCATCATTAGCACCCATTGGTAATATTTTACACCCATAAAATGATGAGACAAAATTAAGGTAAGAAAAAATGAGGCCTTAATCTTGATTTATCTGTAAAAATGTAGAGTATTTTTCTTTAAATGGTTTCCGCTGGTTCCAACAAATAGTGTAATACCTAAAATTGAGTATGCTAGTTGCTCTATAATATGCAAGAAAAAAAGAAAGTTCTTGAAACGAAGATAAATTAAAATGGGAACATAAACTCACATAAGAGAAAAGAATAGCATTACGAGTATATTTATAATGTTGCGTCTTCAGTAGGGATATGTAAACTAGTTCAGATAAGAACCCACTAAAACTTGTTTTTGTTTATTTGTTTTAAATCAAGAATCCTACAAATAAGTTTAAACTTTTTTATTCTAATATGCTTGCCCTTTTTGGCTCCTCTTTCTATGACTTCTCTTGTTCTTTACCAGAAAATGTCTTTCATTTGAATTTTCTAATTCTGTTTTTTATCCACTCAACTGGCAGATAGCAGTTAAAGAGTCATTTCTGGGGCTTCTCATTTAGGTTGAGGTTTCATCTGTTTATCATATAATATCACTTGCAAGTCTCAAACTCTTTTCTAGAGCTAGGAGAAAACAGACATGTCTAGTGGTGATTCTGAAGCAAAACATAGTTTTAATTGTCAGTAGTATCCTATTATACCAACTGGTTTAGCCTTCGTGCCGATCTTCCTTTGACATAGTGATGCACAGTTAAAGAACCATGCCTCGAGATACTGTTTCTAAATGTGGAATTGTTTCCTTTAATATTGTTACTGACTCATGGAAACATTTTCGCATAGTCTTAGGGGTATGAAATTATATATGGGAATTCCCTTAGGGGGTTTGAAAATGATTGGTGCTGTTTGCTTCAAAAAATGATATTTTTTCAAGTTCTGTAGTAAATGAATTTTGAAAATATTAATTTTGCCCTTTTGTCTGTGATATCCAATAAATAATGAGCTGTCTAAGTAGACAGGGGAACAAGTAGACTATAAAGACATTTGCTGTGATTAGAGAGATTTGCTGTTTTAAATCAGCAAGAAAATAACCTAATTTGATGTATTGTTATGCTGGATGCCAATTAGCATGTTTAAGTTTAAAATCCAATTTTATATCTAAAATATATTATTACTTTTAATGGTCATCAAGAATGAACCCAAATTCTGCCTCTCTGCTCTTTTAAATTCCTGAACACTGGGTTGGATAATTCTGGTGTTTGGCTATATACAATCATGATAGCAAAAGTCAGAATTACATTGAAACAGACTAGCCTGAAACATCCCACCCTGTTGCTAGGTATAGATATTCTTGGGGGAAAATGAGTGGTTCTAGTCACAGCTGATTGAATATAAAGATACACAGAGTGATGCTCTGGAAGAAAGAGGATCTGCAGTTTGAACCTAGCTGTCCTCTGGGGAGGAATGTTAGCAACCAAAACCTGACGTTTCTTAAGTTATTTTATTCTTTTCTGTTTTCTTTAAATTAAACCAAATCCCAAAAAGAAAAAGACAGTCCCTTTTCTTGGTTGGTTGGTGGGTTAGTTGGTTGGTGGGTTTTTGTTTTTTGGTGGGGGGTTGGTGTGGGGGAAGGGGGATGATTCCAAGACATATCTCTATAGCAAGTTAGAAGAGATGCAAGGTTTTTAACTTCTGTTAATCTGAATGATTCGGGTTTCTGATATGACAAGTAATCTTCCAACTCATACTCTATCACCTTTACTCTGTAGTATATATGTACTGCAATGTGCACTACATATCTGTAGCTGTCATTGAAGACTGTCCAGAAGCTGCAGATGGTGCAGAATACAGCAGCATTTCTTCTCACAGTGATAGGTTGCCAGAGGTATGCAACTCCAATGCTTCAGAATTTGCACCAGCTCTCAATAGCTTGTTGGGTGATTTTTGGGTCACCCTGTCAGACAGGATGCAAAGCATCCAGGGGGCAAGAGGAGGGCCCACAACTGACATAGATCAAGTGAGGGAACACCTTGAGAGGCTCGACATCCATAAGTCTACAGGCCCAAACAGAATGTACCAGAGAGTCCTGAAGGAGCTGGCAGACATCATAGCACGCCCTATGACTAAGATATCTGAGAACTCATGGTGCTTGGGAGAGGTACCAGAAGGCTGTAAAAAAGGCCATTGTGGTCCCAATCTTCAAGAAAGGAAGGAAAGACGATCCAATGAATTACACACCAATCCCTGGAAAGATCCTGGAGAAAATCATCAAAGGTTCCATCAGCAACAGACTAATGGAAGGCGAGTTTCTGAGTGCCAGCCAGCATGGCTTTGTTGCTGGAAGGTCTAGCCTAACCAGCCTTGTCTCCTTCTATGATCAGGTGATACATTGCCTGGACAAGGGAAATGAGGTTGCTGTCATATATCTGGATTTCAAGAATGCCTTTGACAAGGTCTCCCATGATGTCCTCATGGTTAAGCTGGGGAACTGTGGCCTCAACCATCTCAGGGTCCAATGGCTGGGGAACTGGCTCCAGGTTTGGACCCAAAGAGTATTAATTGATGGAAGCAAATCAATATGGCACAAGGTGACCAGCGGTGTCCCTTAGGGCTCAGTGCTTGGGCCAGTACTCTTAAACATCTTCATTAATGATCTGGATATGGACATCAGATGTGGACTGGCATAGTTTCCCCAATAAATTATGGGGGAAGGTAGTCTCACTGGAGGACAGACTGGGGATACAGGCCAATCTGTACAGGCTCACAAGGACCAAAACCTGATGGGAGGAAAAACAAGCATCATATTCATAGGCTCAGCAGTGCTGTGCTCACTAGCATCATGGCCAAAAAAGACTTAGGGTTCTTGATTGACCACAAGATGTTGCTCTTAGTTGACTTCAGGTATTGCAATGGAACATAAGGGAGAAGAAGAAAGTCCCTCAGGTACCCAGGGGCCAGACCATTTCGGAGATTTCATAGATTTTCATAGACAATAGGGGCTGGAAGGGACCTCACAAGATCATCGAGTCCAGCCCCCCTGCCATAGGCAGGAAGTATGCTGGACCCAAAGATTATGCTCCTGCTTTACTCAGCCTTAGTGAGGCCACAGCTGGAGTACTGCATACAGTTTTGGGCTCCCCACTTCAGGAGGGATGTGGATAAGCTTGAGAGAGTCCAAAGGAGAGCCACTCACATGATCAAAGGCCAAGAGAACAAGCCTTACAAGGAGAGGCTGAGGGACTTGGGATGCAGTACTCCAGCTGTGGTCTCACCAGTGCTAAGTAGAGCAGAAGAAACACCTCCTTGACTTTGCTGGAGATGCATTGATTGATGCATGCCAGAGTATTATTTGCCCTACTGGCTACAGCATCACACTGCCAGCTCATATTCATACTGTGGTCTGTTATTACTTCCGGGTCCCTTTCATTTGTGGTGCTAGTCAGTTTGGTGCCACCACGCCTATAGGTGTGCTGGGGGTTGGTTTTCCCGAGGTAGAGCACTTTACATTTCTCGACGTTCAACTTCATCAGATTCCAATCTGCCCAACTTGCTAGCCTGTCTAGGTCCACCTGTAACTGTAGCCTGTCTTCAAACGTGACCATGCTCCCCCATAGCTTGGTATCATCTGAGAAGCTGGCCAGCGAGATCTTTACCCCCACATCCAGATTGTTAATAAAGATGTTTAAAAAGTTCTTAATAAAGATGTTAATAAAGATGTAAAAATGTACTGGACTGAGCACCAACCCCTGTGAGATACTACTGCCCACTTCTTGCCAGGATGACATAGATTCGTTCACTGCCACTCTCTGGGTCCTATCCTGCAGCCAGAGTCTCACCCACCTGACTGTCTCAGAGTTAAGCCTACAGTCCTCCAATTTTCTTGTGAGGACATCGTGGAATACTAGATCAGAGGCCTTTTGGAAGTCTAGGTATACAATGTCAACCCATTCTCTTGTGTCCAGGTGGTCAGTTACCTGGCCATAGAAGGACATGAGGTTGGTAAGGCAAGACCTGCCTGCAACGAAGCCATGCTGGCTGTCATTCAGAATCTTAACTTCTGCAAGCTTATCACACATAAACTCCTTGATGAACTTTTCTAAGATTTTCCCTAGGATGGAAGTTAGGCTGATTGGCTTGTAGTTACCTGGGCCCTCCCTCCTGCCCTTTTTGTGGATGGGCACAACACTGGTCCCCTTTCAGTCCTCAGGGACTTCTCCAGAGCGCCACGAGTTGTGGAGGATGTTTATCAGGGATTCTGCAATGACTTCAGCCAGCTTTTTCAGCACTCTGGGATGAAGATCATCCAGTCGTGCTGACTTGTATATGTCTAATTTTATTAATGGGTCATACACAAATTCTACAACAATAGTAGGAAGGCGATTATTCCTACTGTGCTTGTCCTCTACTCTACCTGGTGTGGTTTTCCCCTTAGTCTGGTGAAAGGCTGAGGCAAAGTAGTCATTCAGAAGTTCAGCTTTCTCCTGGATGCTGGAAACCGGCTCTCCTGAGTTGTTGAGTAGTGGCCTCACACTTCCATTTGTTTTCCTCCTGTTCCCTATATACCTAAAGAAGGACTTCTTGTTGTCCTTAATTTTCATTGCTAATCTAAGTTCAGTCACTGCTTTAGCCTGTCTTATCTGTTCCCTGCAAATGCGGGCCATCATGAAATAGTCCTCCTTGGGGCCTGCCCTGAGCTTCCATTGTTTATAAGTCTTTCTTAACAGGACTATGATCTCCTTGTTTAGCCAAGAGGGCTTCCCAGCCCTTCTGTTACCTTTTCTCCACATGGGAATGGACTTCCTTTGTGCTTCAAGGATTGTGTCCTTAAGAAACAACCTCTCTTTGTGAACATCTTTCGCCTTCAGTCCCTGGTCCTGCA